GTACAGGAGACAGCTGCTCTCTGTACCCGTCGGACCAGCATGCTGCAGGGCTTGGCCACGTTACAGCAAAAGAAGCTGACAGGAGGGATCGCTGAGCGCTTCCCTCCTGTCAGCCCCTCTCCACAGGTTGCGCCCCCGGCCAGGGTGGTCTGCCCTCATGGACGCACCGCCCGGGCAAAGCTGCAGCCCCCACCCCCCCCTTAGTACGCCACTGACTGGGAGTATGGTGTTAGTAGGCTGGTTGTAGCCCATGGATCAGCGCAGCTAAGAGGAATAGGCCTTGACAGAGCCAGGAGGTAGGCATAGCAGCCACAAGAATTTAGTGCCAGCTAACATGCTGGGTAGGGCGGAGCCATATGGGGAGTATTTATACCAGCCATTATTTGAAGTGGCCATTTTAACTGAACCTAAGCTTACCTGTCAGTTGTGAAAGCTGCCTGCCCTGGAGGGAGAAGGCAGCAGCATGGAGGCAGCATAGAAGAACAGGCAGCATGAAAAACAGGCAGTACTGAGACAGGAGGCAGCATGGAGATACAGGAGAGGCTGGAGTGAGCTGCTACTACATGATCACTCCCATCAGCAGCATGGAGGCAGCATAGAAGAACAGAGGCAGCATGGAGGTACAGGAGACAGCATGGAGGTACAGGAGAGGCTTACTCCCATCAGCAGCATGAAGAACAGAGCAGTATTGAGACAGGAGGCAGCATGGAGGTACAGGAGAGGCTGGAGTGAGCTGCTGCTGCTGCATGCTCACTCCCATCAGCCTCAGACAGAACTCCAAGCAAGCCACCATCCTGGTCACAAAGGTTGTGGCAGAATCGTGTCTGGTGGCTGCAGGAGCAGCTGGGGGGCCCCGAGCACGTCTGCTACCCCCCCCCCCCATGCGGCGGTGGAACAGAGGCCAGCAAGGAGAGCGAGGACGCCCCAGCGGCAGCCTGTGAGTGACATCGTTAGTTTGGCAGCCCGTGAGCCTGTCAGGAGGCGGCAAAGGGAAGGCTGAAAATGAGGTCGGAAAGCAGGCAGGAGTTGGAGGGCGGCTGGCGCCGTATGTTCGACGCGGCGCCGGTCAGGCAAGATGTCAGGTCAGGATGAGGCCGCACAGGAAGAGCGCCCCCTGCAATAAGGCTGGGGGGGGGGGCGGGAAAACACAAAGGACAGCGGAATCCAACATGACATGATGGCCGCCAAGCAGGGAGAGCGGCAAGAGGCGTCCTGGTGAGTCTGCCCCTGGTGGCATACCTGAGGGACGGGGGGAATGATGCAAGGGCCCAGCAGTGTAAAAGCGGTCCCCCCGTCCCTCAGGTATGCCACCAGGGGCAGACTCACCAGGACGCCTCTTGCCGCTCTCCCTGCTTGGCGGTCCAGGTCGGCGGGACACAGACAGAGGCGGCCCTGGATGGGGCCAGGGTCAGGTCAGAGGTGAAGGAAGGGGATAGTGAAAGCAGCAGACGGAGTCTTCACAGGCGCAGCAGAGCAGCTATGGAGGGGAAGGCCAGCAACCAGGATTAAAGGGGCCACAAGTGGATGAGGTGGCCGGGGAGAGGCCAGGTACTGCAAGCAGAGGGCAGAAGAGAGGACATGGATGGGTGGAAATCCAGGGGCGTTCTCAGGAGCAGGAACACAGGAGGAGCATCAGCAGGTGTGAGTACGGGAGGGAGCAGCGCAACAACAATGACAGGCACAGCAGCAGCGGGAGGTCGGATGAGGGATGGAGCAGCAGGTCGAGGAGTGTTACTTCTATGGGCTTGAGGCTGGACCAGCGCGGACAGGAGTCGGCATCCACCGGATACTCCAGAGCCTGGCAAGGTGGATGGAAGGACAGCGCAGACGGGGGTTCGGGCAGTGAGTCAATAAACACACCACACTTTTTTAAATTGCAAAAATCATTTTAGAGTCATGATCAAGGAAAAAAGGGGCCGTCCCCGCGGTGCGGAAGGGTGGGGTCACCAGAGCGCAGTCGGGAGGCCGAAGTAAGGGTGGTGGTGACGGCGTGCCGGGTAAGGGAAGGTGAATACGGTGTACCGGTACCGGGGACATCTGACGGGGCAGGAGAACAGTTAGATGTGTGGCAATATTCCAGGCGTGGCGCAACAAAATGGGGACGTGTCCTTCCCGGGGACATTGGGGGGGCACTTGAAGGCTGAGGATAAGATTTGATAAAGGGGATTTGAAAAAAATAAAAATTTCCTGTCTTCCGCTCGAGGAGTTCATTGATTTAAAAGGGGTGGTTCCTAATGATGGTGCAGGAAATGCGCTCTCTCCGGGGGCTGCCGGCGCACCCCCAAGAGGTGCGGTGCTGGCTGGACAGAAGAAAGGTCAGTGCAACTGGGGACCGTCGGGTAGGCTTTGATACGGGTGTTCCGGAGGCGGTGGGAATCACGGTGTCAACTGACGCGTCAAGAAAGGAAAACCTAAGGCAGGAAGGGTACTCGGCAAGGCTTTAGCCCCGCGGTTGTGGCTATGAGCGGCACCAGTGATGATCAGTGCATTGCTGCTGTGGCTAAGGCAGTAAGCCTCCCATGAATGCGCTAGTTTTATGGCTGGGATTGTTGAGGGGGTTTACGCTATTCCATTCAAAGTCGAGGGACCAGGAAAAGTGGTGGACGAATATCAAGTCCATGGGGGAACTTCCGCGCCATTAGCGGACCTGTGGGTGTCTCAATGGGGGACGGTCCCCTCGAAATGGGCGGGCAAATTCCGTCCGATACAAAACTTATCGCACCCGAAAGGGGCATCGGTAAATGAGGACATCGCCGCGGAACTGTTCTGTATCGTTGGCATCATTCGGCCTTGCCATCAAGTTGGTTTGGGGGAACAGGACGCGTTCGATTATTGGTGACCCTTCCATCTTTTGGGTTGCATGTTTGCAGGTTCCTATTGGTAACCTCTACTTGCCAAGGGGCAGTTCCATTCATGTTCCTACTTCGGGAAGTTGGATCTGTCTGGGAGTGGGAGGTGAAAGAGGAATCAGAAAGGGGTTCCTTAGTACATTATCTGTAAGATAGCTTGCTGTGTGGGCTCGGCTGGGCTGGGCCGTTGTGGACATACCTTACGGTCGCGGGAATCCTACCGCACGTCTTTACTTGGGCTGGAAATTGTTTCGGTGGTAGGAGAGTGTTGATTGCCTGGGGTTCAGTTGACTGCACTTCGGGAGTTCAGGCTGAAGGTTCGCAGGTCCAAGAAGGTCACTGAGAAATAGCAGTTGTTCATAAGGCAGTTTCAAGTTGCATGTCGGGTTAGTCGCAAGGACTGGGTCGGTAGCCATTTCATGGCGAAGGCTACTTGTGGAGCCTTTGCGGGTGGTATCGAGTTATTCACGGATACCTCTGGGAACATAGATTCCGGGGCATACCTGGAAGGCAGGTGGTGCGCAGAGCGGTGGTGGGAGGCATGAAAGGTAAGTCCTCTTATTCGAAGTTGGCATCTTTTGAGTTATTTCCATTGGGAGTGGCTGTGGCTCTAAAAGGTGAAGTATTAAGGGATGAAAAGTCATAATTCACGCACAATACGGCGGGGTTCATGTGGTTTACCATCCAGCCGGGTCCTCGGTTCAGGAGGTACGCCGATGGCGGCAATTCGTATCACTGTTCAGGTATCGGGTGCAGGCACGCCACGTGCCTGGTTGGCGGAAGGTAGGGGCTGGTTACTTGGCTCGCGCACAAGGGGACAAGCTGCGAATGGCGGCCCCAGTGGACACGGGAGGAGGGACAGTCCGGTCTGGAGGAAATGTGGCAGCTCGAGACGCCATGCTTGGAGGATCGATACAGAATCCTATGGCACCGGGCACAGGGACTGCCTATGTGAACGTTTGAGATATGTGGGACAAGGCGGTTGGTTTCACTGTGGGGGCCCAGTCAAAGGAGGAGTGAAGGGATACCTTGCTGTGGTTCCTAAGCCGTTTGTTCGTTCAGCGTTAGCCCCATCGGCAATGGACAGGAGCATGGCGCCATTGTCGTTAGGGTTCAAACTGACCGATTGGGAGGAAGTGACGGAACGTTGTCACGTCCGTCAGGCATCGCGGGTCTTACGGAGAGGTATGAAATATGTCGGTGCCGGGCGGCTGGTTTCCTTGGGTAACGCAACGCCTGGTGGTGTATTACTCTACTTTTGCAGTGAGTTTGCTTGCGGTGGCCTTCTCGGAGGCTTGGGGCAATTTGGATTGGGGAATTGGTGAGTGCCTTCGGGCAGGTGTTGGGGGGTTCTACACTCGGTTGTCGAACCTCAGTCGGTTAAGGTAACGATTCAGTAGGGTTGTTCAAGAACGGATGTGTCTGGTAAAGGATGTTTGGTAAAGCTATATTCCCTGCCGGAGTCAGGGGTACGCCCGGTGTTAAGCGCATCATTCTACTTGGAGCTTTGCCCGGACATCCCTGGTGGCTTACTGGTAAAAGGGGACAGATCGGTGCTGTCACGATTCAATTCCCGCAGGTGTTTGTTCGGTGGGGTTTGACAATGTTGGGTTTGGATCCCGGGCACTTTGGGACCCATTCTTCCCGGATGATGGCGGTAACAGAGGCGCCCCGCCTGGTTTTAAGTGAGGACCTAGGGAAACGTTTAGGCAGGTGGGAGTCAGTACGGTTTAAGTCCTGTTTCAGGCCAGTCTATTTGGTTTAATGGCTATGGACGTATGGGTTTGTGTTTGGGGCTATGCCTTGTCGCTAATTACTTTCATTTCAGGTTTGGTGACATGGTTGGTGGGTCATTCTTATAGCTAAGGGGCACAGATGGGAGCCGCTTTTCGGTTCAAACGCAACTGGGCTTTCCTTTGGAATTGGTGGAGCAGGAGTGGTTTTGGTTTTCGGGGATTTTGGTGGCAAGACATTAGGGGAGAAAATTTTCCGGGAGGTAACAAGGGGTACTGTCCAGGACATTCTGGATATTGGCATGGTCCCAGAAAAGGAATTGATCAGGTGGAGGCAGAGGGAGGTGGACCGGCTATGGGAGCTGGCCACGGGTGTGGTGGTGGTGCGGTCCAAGATGGTTCCTCGGTTACATTGGAGACATACTACGTACCCGGCCGTGGTAGCTCGGTGTCGAGGACGACTTAATAAAAAATTGATGGCGGTATTTATCAGATGTGGGGGCGGTGTAACAGTGAGACACAACGAATTGGGAGGAAAGCTCCCTGGGTACTCCAGGTGGGATGGGGTACATTTTCGGATGTAAGGTGTGATCTGTTTAAATTGGGCCTTCAGGAAGGCATTCAACAGGCCTTATTCCGGTGTGGTGGGGGTCGCTCAGGAGCTTTAGGTGTCAAGTCCTGAGCTGTGGCGGGGAATGGCCTGGTTAAATCGGAGGGTAGATGGAGGAGAAAGTGGGCATCCTGAGGTTTAGTGTGGATTGGGCAGTGTTGCACGTGGTTGGTAGGTTCGAGCCCGTCGGTGGCTCCGAACCTGGGGGTGTGGTGGTGGGGGTGTGGTGGTGTCTTGGTACACCCTACACTGGAACTGGTGGGTAGCGGTGTCTTGGTACACCCCTACAATGGATATGGTGGGTAGCGGTGTCTTGGTACACCCCTACAATCGATATGGTGGGTAGCGGTGTCTCGGTACACCCCTACAATTTAACCTGGTGGAAATGTGGTCAAATTGGGCGGCCAGTTTCTGTGTTAACATGTTATTTAGATTGTTATCTATTGTTATTATTGTGGGGTCATTGCTAGGGGTATGTTATGTATATGGGGGAGGTTAACATTATTAAGATTTGTTGGCAATGACCCCATTTGTTATTCCTTAATTATTTTATTAATAATTTAATAAAGCTGTGGACGAATTATTTCCAACAGTATAACCTGTGTCCGTGTTTTAATGGGGTTTGGGTAAGGTTAGCGCATATGCCGGCAAATCCGACTGTGCGCCTGTCATGTAGCCCATGGATCAGCGCAGCTAAGAGGAATAGGCCTTGACAGAGCCAGGAGGTAGGCATAGCAGCCACAGGAATTTAGTGACAGCTAGCATGCTGGGTAGGGCGGAGCCATAAGGGGAGTATTTATACCAGCCATTATATGAAGTGGCCATTTTAACTGAACCTAAGCTTACCTGTCAGTTGTCCCTCCCACCCTCCCTGTATTTGGTTATGTTAGTTGATTTCCCGTTTTTTCACAGCGGCGGGGAATGGCCTGGTTAAATCGGAGGGTAGATGGAGGAGAAAGTGGGCATCCTGAGGTTTAGTGTGGATTGGGCAGTGTTGCACGTGGTTGGTAGGTTCGAGCCCATCGGTGGCTCTGAACCTGGGGGTGTGGTGGTGTCTTGGTACACCCTACACTGGAACTGGTGGGTAGCGGTGTCTTGGTACACCCCTACAATGGATATGGTGGGTAGCGGTGTCTTGGTACACCCCTACAATGGATATGGTGGGTAGCGGTGTCTCGGTACACCCCTACAATTTAACCTGGTGGAAATGTGGTCAAATTGGGCGGCCAGTTTCTGTGTTAACATGTTATTTAGATTGTTATCTATTGTTATTATTGTGGGGTCATTGCTAGGGGTATGTTATGTATATGGGGGAGGTTAACATTATTAAGATTTGTTGGCAATGACCCCATTTGTTATTCCTTAATTATTTTATTAATAATTTAATAAAGCTGTGGACGAATTATTTCTAACAGTATAACCTGTGTCCGTGTTTTAATGGGGGTTTGGGTAAGGTTAGCGCATATGCCGGCAAATCCGACTGTGCGCCTGTCAAGTTCCACTGGTTATTATGAAGATACTCTCTCACTATACTGAGGGAGCATGTGGTCATGTTCTTTGTCAGTGCACCCTCATGGTCCCAGTGCTTCTATTTGACTCATAGTCCTGCCGCAAGGCTTCCTAGCCAGCTCTCTGAGTCATTCAGGAGCTCTGGACTAACAGGAGCTTTTGCAGTGATCTGCACCCACCAGAGATGCAGACCATAAGTTTCACTTGCCAGACACCAGACCATAAGGAATCTTAGACCCTCCCCAGCTCAAGGTTAGCAGAATGGAAACACACACAAACACATATATTAAATACTGAAATTTATATTGTTAACACTGACATTTGATATGTAAAAATGTGGGTTGTAATTATTTAGGACAGAGTCTTTAAGGAAGATTTGAATACCCAAATATGTGATAAAAGGTCTTCGTAAACAGATCTGAAACTTCAGTTACAAAAGTTAAATTCGTCAGGGTGCAATCAAAAAACAAAAACAGACAGTGGAGAATAATCTGATGTGGCGTTGAATAGACGCAGGACTTATTTTTGTGTATTTGTAGTTAATTTATCACACAGCCATGTTATAATGCTGCCGCCCACCTATTAAGTGTTAATAAGTGTGCAGGGCTTTATAAAAAAATACCCCTCTCTGTCTCATTAGAGATTTATTTACCGAAGCTGAAGGAAGCCAGGTGATTTGTTAGTGTAGGACCCACCTAAGAGGTTTGCCTTGACGTGGCAGGTGGGCTTGCATCTAATGGCCATTGGAGTTACTAAATAAACTCAATTTATTTAAATATGCACAGGGACTTGGGCTAGTGCACAGGTAACACTTTTTTTCTTTGTTTTTTTATTGGATAGGTTGGGTAAAATCAGTCAGCAAAATTTGTAGTACATGCATAAGCTGATATTTTGTACTTATCTCCACATATGAGAAGACTATAAATATTGTGAATTTTACTTTTTTCTTTGAAATATTCCTTCTAGTAATATAAAAAAAGTGTTATAATGAGGCTGAAATTCAACACACAAAGCCTCCACATACACACACCAGACACACAACATTCCAATATGTCTCAGATCCAGTTCCAGGATTATTCTCTGGTGTCACTTGTTAACAATGAGCGCATCATTTCATCTATTTACCGGTCTGCCCACCCACTTATTGATACCATATTTTCCAATGTCTGGAAGAATGCAGTACAGACAACATACACCTTCAACATAACACCCACACACTCACAGGCTCCCCATATACACAACACACAGTCTCCACATGCACAAAACACTACATGCGATAGCTGCCACAAATGCAGCCTTTGTCATTCACATGCAGTACTATCAACCCATAAAATAAGATGCAATGTTTCAGCCGTAAGGCCTTAATCATGTACGATGATGATGTAATCATATAAATGATTAAGGCCTTGTAACGGATCACCTGGCACCCCGACTGGGTACCTCCGTTGAAAGATGCTCCTAGCGCTTCCAGAGGACTCCAAGCACTCCACCAGACACCATAAGCACCGCAGGCTGCAGCTATCTCCCTTCAGAACGAAGCAGGAACAAGCTCTTACAAGAGCTCAGTGATTATAGCAAGGGAATATGCCTAGCATAGCAATCCCTTGTAGCAGATTCCCCCAATAAGAGACAGGACTCAAGTTGAGGGTAAAAATAGAACTCTCTGGCTGCTAGCTTGCAGCCCTTTTTATTAGGTGCTCCCATGAAGGGGAGGGACACACACAGTAACGTACATTAACCAATCACACAATAGTTACATCCCACACATAGCCCTCCCCTCTACCTGTAAACTAATTATCTGTACACACAGGGAAATACAATTATCATAGGTAGGGAAAATACAGTTTTTACACAACATTCATAACTCCCAAAATATACATCACATTCGCATAAAAATACATATTCACAATCAATCCATTCAGGGGAACAACATATTAAAAAAATGGCATCAATCAGACCAGGGGTTCAAAAGTTAGTAAAAGTATCTTTTGTTCCCCTTGGCTCAAACAGTAAAAGTAAAACATCCCCACAATGCATCTTGGCTTCCTCCCTTCTGCCCTGGAGATAATTGGAGAAGGAATCTAATTATCTCCAAAGACAGAGCCAAACTCCATTACCCACATGGCAGACAAAAAGACAGTAAAAGACATAAAATTACATACTGACACATTTAGTACATAAAACACACATTTCTACATATCCCCAGATAGCTTGGATCTGACTGCACATTATTAGATGAATGGCACTCAGATCACACGAATAAGCCTTTCTGCAGGGAAAATAAACAGTTTAACCTGCAGGGCCATAGTCCAAAGGCAAGAGGCGGGCAAGCAGCCCCCTCCAAGGACACGTGGCGAGGTCGGTTTTGCCACAGGCCTCAATGCCGAAATGTTGTATCTCCTTTTTGTCTTTTGGACTATAATTTCATTTTCTGCTCCTACCCCCTAAAATGAGTTGCCCATGGATTGATAACTGTGTCAAACTATAATGGACTGTTTGCTCTTGTGAATGGAATCTTAATGACTCATCTGTGGCATTAAGATTGGGATCCTTCATGTGTAAACTGTGTACTGGATACTAAACCGCCTTACATAGCTTATAACTAATCTGGCTATGGGAAGTTAGGTGACATATACGTGGAGTATGAGATGGTTAAAAAGACATTGAAAAAAGAGAATTGGAGAAAGAGAAAAAGATGAGGAAGAACTGAGGGTACAGGATATTTGTCCAGGATAGTATAATTCCATGCACCAACCCTCACCATAAACATGGAAACATTTATTATATTATATTCTGCTGGTAACCTGTCTGGCAAAGTAATATCTAAAGTAGGGGCATTTTCTTAAATTTGAAGATATCCCATTTATTATACACCTTCAGCACTTGCTTCCCATCATGAGAGTTCTAGTTTTTTTTTGCTGTAATGGGTAGAAGGACTTGGATTGCAATTCTCACTGAACTCAGCTAGTACTGCACTTTAGATTGTTTTTCCTAAATGAAATGCACGCTGATTATAATAATTTATTGAAAGGCTTCCTGGGTCCTAGAAATAAAAACTGCCTCTGCAATGAAAGGGTAATGTACTTCATGGATTACTGGAAGCTGGTTTATAAAGGAGGGCAGATGGAAATCATCAGGTGATAAAGCAGCCACGGAGGTGAGTTAAACGAAGTCCAGGTGTATGAATAAGGATCCCCCCTGCTAAATGGCCACCTAATGGATGCGTGACTCCCCA